TTTTGCAAGCCAGAGATGCAACTTTAGATTGGAGGTTTTAAATTTAAAAAGCCTAATTGATGACCTCTTATTATTGAGAAACAACTGGGATTTAATTTTAAATGAATATAAACTTGTGGCTGAAAATCTGGGCATGATTTCCAATGACATTCCCGGAGAAAAAACGCAGCCGAAAAGCTAGATTTTCAGATGAGGAACAGAATAATATATTAGGCAACACCAGTGCAGAATTTTGTTTCAAGCGCGATGTTTTTTATGTTCTTTTAGACTGTGTCATTAATAATATGAATCGGCGTTTTGAGGCAGCCAAAGATCTTGAGAAAACATTTGGTGTTGTATGGAAATACATGACATTAGATAAAGATCTGCTGCGTGAGAAAGCTTCATCTATTTGCGTTAAATACAGCATTGATGTTTCTCTAGATTTAATAGACAAATTAGAACATTTAAAGGCAATTCACGCATCAAATCTTGACGTAATACAATTATCGCCGTTTCAATTATTAAACAAACTTCATGAGTTGAAGCTTGATTCTCTTTTCCCAAACATTGGGAATTTTTTGTACACTTCCAGTTACCATTGCACAAGCAGAACGCTCTTTTAAGAGTTAAAAATGTTTTACGTTCTACAATGTGTCAAGATCGACTTTCTAATTTGGGAAGACTAGCGATTGAGGCGCCACTTGCAAGGAAACTAAACTTTGATGCAGTTATTGAACTTTTTGCAAGCAAAAAATCGCGCAAAGCTTATTTTAATTAATTGCAGTATAATTAAATATAATTATTTATTTTGAACACTTAGAATTCAAAATATTCTTTTTTTTAAAAGAAAACCAAAGAATATACTTGTTAGTCTGTAAAACTCTCTTAGAGAAATTAGAGTCTTTATTAATACTTTTTATTTTAATTTACATTCTCTTCTTTTTTATATTATATCAAGTTAATTACTTATAGTAAAAATATTAAATAAAAGGCTACTTAATTAAAAAGCTTATTACAAAATGTTTTGCTAAATAAACTTAGTTACTCCGCGCAGCGGTCTTGCTTGCCAAAGTTCGTATTTCTGAGTTAAAGAGTTGAGAGAGGGTTGTACCACAATTAACAAGAAAAAATAAAAAATAAAAATACAAAAAAACGAGTAGCCTCCTTGACTATAGTGACCCCTCGGCCTTGGGAAGGTGAATAATGTAAAAAAAAAAAAAAATTCTAACAAATGCAACTTGTTAAAAAAATGAAAGGATTCGTTGACCAACCTAACTAATTAAAGACACATCTAGTCCTAGACTTTAAGATTGGTTTTGATTTAAGTTAGACTAAAGACACGTCATAGACTTTAAGTTTGATGTTTTCAATATGGATGTGAATATTAATGTAAAATAAAGGGGGCCCGGCAAAAAATTTACCCTGGGGCCCGGCTTGGCTCTCTACGGCCCTGTATATATATATATATATATATATATATATATATATATATATATATATATATATATATATATATATATATATATATATATATATATATATATATATTTTCAACTAGACTTATATTCATCGAGAAATTTTAAATTTCATTGTAAAATATTTAAGTGTTCAAAAATTATGACCATTTTAAGTTTAAACCTCCCTCAGTTTGAGGGGGTTGCAAACTTCATATGGTCATAATTTTTGAACACTAAAATATTTTACTTTAAAATTTAGTACAAAATACTATTGCAAAACGTTAGTACAAAAAGCATGCTTTTTGTACTAACGTTTCTCTCTTTTAAGGTTGATATAGGTAAAAGCCGTTCAAATTTTTATTTAAAGACAAATGTTTAAGATATTTGCAAACTAAAAAAATATTTTTGACACTTCATTTTAGTTTTTTGCGAAATCTTATAAAAACTACTCCAAATCGATTTTTTTTATTTGGTTAATAATGAGTTGAACAACTAAGATATTTCATGGTAACTAAATCATTTTATCGATTATAAGTAACTAAATCATTTTATCATTGATAGGTATATATGAAAGCAGAAAGAAATAGTTAAGAGGTAAGTTTTCCGATAAAAATAAAAACTGAACATGCTTTGAGCCTAAAAATCCAGTATGATCTCAATTATTTGATTACACAATTGAATAATTATTGCTTTTAGGAAAAATCTGTTTTTAGCAATTAGAAAATTTTATTAGATCACCCGCAGGTGGTCTATAACAGGTAGACTTTTTTTTTTTAATTTTAGGTTTATTATTTCAATTATAAAAACCTCACCATCGGCATCGGAGGTCGAAAGATCGTCTATAACTTTATTTGTTAACAAATAAATTTAAAGACAGTCTTTCGGCCTAATGTTAGATCAATTAGAATATAGGTTATAATTAGAGGTGTACCGGATATGATTTATACATCATATTATGGTATCCGATCGGATACGGATATGCCGGATATATATTTATATATCCGGCCGGATATACCAGATATGTTAAATATTGTAGGAGAATAAGAGGACGGGATTTCTAGAGTTGCCCCCTTTCCCAGTGATGACTCCCTAACTGTTGCCGTGACCAAGATTTTTAAATATTACTTATGTTTGAGTTTATCCAGTTTTATCTGAACTTAACTTAGACCATTAAAAATGATAGACGCGGCCTTAGCTATATAATGCTAATCTAAAAGTGAAGCCAAAAAAGTTTTGCTTAGTGACGTCATTCAGTGGCAAAAAACTCTTATTTTAGGTCGAGATTGCTTTTGCATTTCTAGTTTTTTTTTTTAGTTTTTTGCCACAAAATGACGTCACATTCACTTGAAGATTTTGGCTTCAACGATTTACGAAAACGCCGCGTCTATCATTTTTAATGGTCTATGGAACTTAAGGAGTTGGTTTAAAATGGCGTCTCTTTGTAGGAGCTCTAGGAATTTTTAAAATAGAAGAATTTCATGATGGGTGTAACGAAAGTAGCGTACGCTACCTTAGTTAAGCTAAATATAAAATTTTTTATTTAGAACAATTATTTTTAAGACTTTAATAAGCTTTAAGTTGAAAATATTACATCTATAAATAATGTTACGCAAAAGGGTGAAAGAGGAGGTCAAGATAACAAGGGGGAAAAGAGACAAGAGGGGATAAGATATATACGACTAAGTTTGGAAATAACTTAAAAATAAAATAAATAACTTGAAAAAATATTAACTTTTACATAAAAGTTAACATTTTTTGAGTTAGTTATTTTCAAACTTAGTCGTATAGTCTATATATCTATCGTAAATGTAGCTTTTTTATGTATATATATTATATATGTACAGTATAATATATATATACTTTTAACATTTTTAACTTATTGTAACTGTTATTTTTATTTGTTATAAAGCCTTTACTTTCTTCTTCAAAAGTTTTTGTTTCTTTTTTTCTTTTTCCAAAATTTAGAAGTGATTAATGAATCATAGTGAAAAATTAGTGAGCGATGGTGATTCATTCAAAAGTTAAATTTGCGCGATTACTATATTATTTCACTATAATACTTAATTTTTACTTTTTATGAATTAAATTACTCAAAAACAGTTAATTCCTAATTGTTATAAAAGTATGAACACTAGTGAGATAAGAGATATCCGACCGAATATGTCATATATCCGGTCGGATTGTGACATATCGGATATGTCGGATACCCTGACAGTAACTTTGATTCAAACCTAAAAAAGTTTTTTTTTTTTTTCTTTTAAGTATACCTAATGGAAAAATTTTGATGATTTTAGGGCTCTAATATCAGGTTTTAAAGGAGCGGGGGCCTTGGACCCAGTAGTAACGGCACTGTGCATAAATAGTTATGAAATTGAAAGAAATAAGAAAATGTTTTTTTGCAGAAACGTTTGTAAATGATTCAAAGTTTTATCTTTATATCCATTTTTTTTAACATCTTTATAAATAATTTATTTGTATATATTGAAGATAATGTATAATAATAATATATATTGAAGATAATATATAATAAGCTTTGTAATTTTGCGGGGAAAAACACTTTATTTTGCGGTTACAGATTAGAAAGGTGATTTTTTGTTTTTAAAAATAAGCAGCTAATACCATTTGATTTCAACGTAACTTTATACCTACTAACCCAGATAAACTCCAATTTTATACTTACTTACCCAGATAAACTTCAATTACTTCTAGTTGCTTTAAAAAATACAAAAAATCAATCTCTAAAAAATAAGTAAAACAGAAATTTTGTCTGTGATAAAACTTGGTATTACTATTGATAAGGATTTAAAATTGAAAGAATACATCAAATAGATATGCATTAAAGCTAATAGTAAATACTTTCCACTTTCACACATAATAAATTTTTTCTTCCCGTGATAAAGCTACCCTTTTTTTGATCAAATTAATTTGGTCTAATCCTTTTTAATGTCTTCTATATTGGGTGCTTAGTTTAAAAACGGTAACAACCTTGTAAAAAAAATTTACTAAAAAGTTCTTCGCGCACAATAGATTTGATTTGTCTCTAATTAAATTGCTAAATTTCTAAAATCCAAGGTACATAGTCCTAGGTTTTACTTAATTTGTTTAGTAAGAACCTAGGACCTAGATCGTTTTTAATTTTTGTTTTAACTGACATATTTCAAACAAATATTGTAATTACTTTTTCTTTCACTAAAACAATTGTAATTATATTATTTGCTTTTGATTGTAATTAGCATAACATAATTTTTTATAAATTTATATTAACTAAAATTGTTATGCTTATCTGTTTATGTCTGTAAATGTAATGTGTTGGGTTAAATTAGTTTTATTTATCTTAAAACTATTATGTAAATATCAACATTAAATAAAGTTTTTAAATTAAATCAAATCAATTGAAACAGCATGCAAATTGACACTATTTAAAATACCGCAAAATAGAATAACGCGGAAAGCAAATTAGAAATTAAAAAAGTTAAATAACTAATATATATGTTTTCAACTCTTATAAAAACATCTTTCAAATATTTCTATAGCATTACTATTAATAGCACTAACAATTACCTCACTATCTCATTTTTGTTGTCTAGAATCACAGCTCTATGTAACGGTCCGTAGCCGAAATCGTTGCTATTTAGAACATGTTCACCCATTGTTTTTCAAAAATCAAAAAAATATTACAGCAAGTAATTTTTTTCACTAACAAAATTGTCAAAAAAATAATTCCAACAAAATTGTTTTACTATTGGTTTACTTAACAACAAATGCAATGGAGTGCAACAATGCTATACGATTTATCAAGTTTACAAAGCCACTAACACAATAATCAAATTAATTATCGAATTAACTTGTACAACATTAAAAAACGACATTAAAAGACTTTACATAGTATTTAATTCAAATTTTTAAATCTGGTTAATAAACTTATAAAGCATTTCTACTAAACAATAATAATGTTATCGTTAAAACCATTTTTGTTTTTTTAATAAAAATGGATAGCAAAATGATTTGAAAAATGCCAAACGAAAACTCCACGCACTTTATTGTGTGTAAATCTTGTTAAACATTTTTTTTGAAAATACCTAATTTGTTTTTAAAAAAACCTTTTTTTAAAAAAACAACTAAATAAGTAAAGTTTTTACCAGAGCAGTACAATTTAGTAGGCCTAACATTGGTCTTACGTATTTGTGATTATTAGCAGAAGCGATTTTGCGAGTGTGTATGTGACAGTGGCGGATTAAGACTTCTTGGGGCCCGGGGCTATTTTTGTTTTTGGAGGCCATTTTATGGGCCAGAGCCTAAAAATAGCTATAAAAAAATAAATAAACAAATAGCAACAACATTGTTAAATAATGCAAAACATAAATTAACATAATTAAAAAAAAAAAGATGAAATTTTTAAAATACACCTAATAATCTTAACAATACTTAATAATAATTTGGAGGCCTTTTTATGAGCCAGAGCCTAAAAATAGCTATAAAAAAATAAATAAATAAATAACAACAACATTGTTAAATAATGCAAAACATAAATTAACATAATTAAAAAAAAAAAGATGAAATTTTTAAAATATACCTAATAATCTTAATAATACAGTTATTATAATATGTAATAATAATATGTAATAACACAATATATAATAACAATGATAGAGTTTACATAACAATAACAGTAATACAAAAGAAAAATAATATTAATAATAATAATATAACTTATAATAATAATAATAATAATAATAATAATAATAATAATAATAATAATAACAATAATAATAATAATAAAAATAATAATAATAATATTACTTATATAATAATATTAATAATAATTGATAATACTAATTAAAATAACAAAGCCACTTATAATAATAACGATTTAAATCAAGCAATAATATTATGACCGTTATAAAACTTTAGTTACATAAAAAACAAGTAACGAAAACACAAAGAAAACAACAAAAACTATAAAGTGTTTATAATGAATGAACAATATTGAGATGAAAGAGAGTGCAAGAAAGAGAGAGAAAAAATATAATTAAAAACATTATAAAATATCAGATTATAAAAATAGTATTAAAATAATAATCATTTCGTATAATATATACGATATATATACTCAAACTATAAAAAAAAAGAAAAAAAGAAAAAAGATAGAAACAAGAAAAGAATAAAACAACAAAGAAAAACACAATACAACAAAGAATCTTCCTTGTTTTACAAATATAGTTTAATTATTTTTATATAAATAATTAAACTAAAAATAGTTTTTTTTTCTTTCTTCGTCTTCTTTTATTTACATACTTTTATTCTTTTTCTTTTTTATATTCGATTTTTAGTGTTTTTTTTCTTATTCGGTTTTTTCCTTTTTTCCTTAATACTTTTTTCTTTTTTCTCATAACTATCCTTTACCGCCATTTGCGATGTCATTGCAAAGGATGGTTATGAGTTTTAATGATGAATTTTAACTTTATGAAGAAGAATTTTATAGTTTTAATCTTAAAGAAATTAGCTTCTTTCTTCTTTTCTAATGGTTGCAGCAATTGTCAACAGAAGTATCAATGAAAACAACTTTTCTGAACGAGTTTTAGATGATTCATAAAAACTATAACCACAGTCAGTGTCAATAACAGCTTCAGAAAGTTTTCATCATCACTCAAACCAGATATATCACTATTATCAAATTCTGTCATTGTATTGGACACAAATCTCTAATAAAACTTTTTAACATGACTTAAACAGCTTTTCTTATTTAGAAATAACGTGAAAAAAAAATACAAATAAATAGTTACTAATATACGAAAACAACGTTTGGTTAAAAGACATACACGTTATGGAAATCTAAGAATGCTACGTAAAACAAAATCTTTCAAGTAAATAAATTTTAGACTTTATAAAATTTAACTTTCCACAATATGCATGGTGTAAATAAATTCTTGATTGACATCTTCGACATATAAAATCGATTCTCATGAAAAATGAACTACAAGGCGCTGGTGCACCACCTGGATACCGTGCTATGCATCTAAAATTAGGACGGTTTTACGATTTAGGTCTACCAAGGGCTGTTGTTCATGCAGATATATACGCAGAAGATCTTGAAAACAGAAAAAAAGAAGAAGATGAAGAAGAAGAAGAAGAAGAAGAAAGCCAACGACAACTATGTATCAGAAAGTTCAAATGTACAGAGATAATATATCAAAAAATTTTTTAACAGTATATTTGATAAAAGATTAACTAACTGCATTATTAACACAATTTTAGTATTCTGTATTTTCACGTTAAAAAAAGAAGATAAAATGAACGCATTTGGACACTGCTATGTATTTCACTAACTTATTTCAAATAATGTTTTTTTTAGCCAGAAAGGAAAAAGCCCTAGTAACAAACCAAATATCGTGAAAATAAATGTTTATAATTTAGGTAATTTTGAGTTGAACCAATAACCTTATCAAGAAATTAAAAGAATTAGCGCTATTTAATATAACATATAATGCGCAATCTAAACTTTGTTACATTCAATATATAATTCAATATGTAACTTCACTACTGTCTTCTAAAGTTTTTCGATTAAATGTAACATATACTTTATACAGGTAATAAGTCCCTTAAAAGATAAGCAAAAGCAAAAATACATACACAATCAATAAAGTCGCATTTTTAGCTATACACGCATTTTTAAGTCTTTCAAAAAACTTTAATCTCCATTTGAGATTGTGTTTTTTTTTTTATTGCAGAAGAAATATAACCAAAATCTTTTGTTAAAATTTTAGATGCTTCTGCAGCCTCTTCAATTTTTTGGCAGAAGCTAGTATACCTATAATACAAAAAACTTTTTAAAAATATATTGAGCCTATTTCTTGATGAGAGTCTAAAATTTAATGTTATTTAAAATAATAAATTATAGGATTAGTCTTTAAATTTATTATTTTAAATAACAACTAGTTATAATTTATTACATTATTATTTTTAATAATAAAACTATTCAATTGGAAACTATAACAGGGCCGATGACACGGGTTTCGAAGTAGGGGCATAGGGGGTACAATCGTCAATTTAAAAAAAGTCCTCTATATCTAGAATTTTCTAAAATATCTAGAATTTTCTACCTATTACTTCTCTAATATACTTGGAAACAATTTTATTTTTTAATTAATATTCCAGATAGAATCTAGCAATAAGCATTAGACTACTCATCCACACTTTTATCCACATTATTTTACTACAGCAAGTATCTATACTATCAAATACTGAAATCAGAAAGGTACTATTTTGATAGACCATTCAATTTTCGTTGACCATTAGAAGAATGTACCCAATGTGGATCTTCTGACATATAGTTGTCTTTGGCTTTCTTCTGTTTAAACCAAGTTTTCTGTTTTAAATTGCCGCTTGATCTTCTGTGAACATAGCTGTATGAACAACAATGCTTGGTACGCGTATATTATAAAAACTTCCTATTTCTAATGCATAGCACGATATCCAAGCAGTGCACCAGGGCATTGTATTCTATTTTGACAGCATTTTGAATATCTTCAACTGTTGCATTTTTATCAATGGTATATATTTTAAGTATTGAAGATGCCTATCAAGAGTTCTTTTACCCCATGCATATTGTGGAAAGTTAACTTTTATGAAGTTTAAAATTTCTTTTTTTGAAATATTTTGTTTAACATAACACGTTGTATTTGTAAATTAGTCGCCATTTTATTTTTTGTTTTTTCACAGCATTTTTAAACAAGTAAAGCCGTATAGCAATGGCAACGATGGACCACGTAGATTTTTTTCGGAAACCTTTTTTTTCTTATGGCAACAATGGGCCAACATAGTGGTGCAATTCTTAAGTTTCAGATCAATTTATATCTATATCTATATATATCTATGTATATCTATCCCGGTGGGAAATCGGCTAGTTAATAGCTAGCTATAACCGCTACGATAAAGACAGCAATTTGGCCACGAGGATTGCTAGCTTTTTTAAGTTTGCAAAAAGCTATCGATATTTGTAAATATAAAGACAGCGATTAGGCTACGAGGGCAGCTAGTTTAATAAGCGAAAGACTCACCGGCTATTGTAGCTACCATCATATCGTAATAAAATCGCTGTCAAAAAATTTAGCTATCAACCAGCTATAGATTTGTAGATATTTTGTAGCTAGCTACAAAGCTACGATATGTAGCTAGCGACACATTGCTACAAAATCGCAATGTTTAAAGTTCAATTTATATTTTTATAATTATAATAGAAATATAAAAATATATTTTTATAATTATAATAGACTCAACACTATAAATCGAATTTTGAAAAATGTTAGACACATTAGTAAAGAATAAAATAAGAAAACAAAATTGCTTGAAAATCGCTATAGTCGCTCGCTAGTCGCTAGCTCAATTCCCACCGGGATATATATATATATCGGGTGATTCATAAATAATGATACCTTTTTGTATTGATTAATTTTAGCCTCTGTAGTACAAAGTATGAACCACACATGGTCTTAAAATATAGAGAATTTTGTGCCGAATAATGTACCATTCTCATTTTTTTTCTGCGCGCACGCAAGTGAATCAGTAACAATGAAAAGTCAAGACTTGCAAAATGTTGTAATTTCTAAGTATAAAAATAGTGATGGTCCAACTAAAATTTTTCGTGATTTGAGTGGTACTCTTACCTTACCAACAATCAAAAGATGGTGCAAAATTTTTGATATTGATGGTATTTATAACTCTCAAAATGACAGAATATGGGCTTCAAATCGTGTTGAAACTGATAGCATCGGAGGAATCAAACAGCGAAGAAAATTTCCTGAAAGTGTTATGTTTTGGTTAGGAGTTTGTTCAAAAGGTGTATCACCATTAGTTATTTTTAAAAAGGGTACTGTTAACCATGAAAGTATATTGAAGTTTTATCAGTTGCTAAAAAATATGGCAATAGAGTATTTGATGAAAACTGGATATTTCAGCAGGATGGTGCACGAGCACATACACACTGATTGACACAACAATGGTGTCAGGACAATTTTCCTGATTTTATTCCTAAAGAACGTTGGCCTCCAAATAGCCCAGATTTGAACCCATTAGACTTTTCTATCTGGGAGGAATTTAACCATGCTATTGATTGGAGTCGAGTAAGCTAAAAAAAAAACGTTAATCGGTGAGTTAAAACGTGCAGTAACGAGAATTAGATTTGAAATTGTCTTAGAAAGTTGTAATTCTTTTTCAATTCGATTAAATTATGTTTGTGAGAATCGTGAAAACTATTATTCAAAATAAAAAGACATTATCTTATAGAAAAAATTTCTCTATCTTTTGAATCTATTTTGAATGTTAGTAAGTTAATATCTTAGTAAAAAAAAAAAAAAATGTTAATCGGTGAGTTAAAACGTGCAGTAACGAGAATTAGATTTGAAATTGTCTTGAAAGTTGTAATTCTTTTTCAATTCGATTAAATCATGTTTGTGAGAATCGTGAAAACTATTATTCAAAATAAAAGACCGCACAGATCATCCAAGTCATATCTTAAAAATCCATTAAATTGTTTGAGTAAAAAATCCGGAATATATTTTCCTCTTAAATTTGCTTTTAGCTGAGTTGTTTCAATTTTTTTCCCAAAATTTTTAGTAGTTTTTGTGTAAGTGATGAGTGAAAAAGCTTAAATATATATATATATATATATATATATATATATATATATATATATATATATATATATATATATATATATATATATATATATATATATATACCTTACTTGTATGTATGGAAAATGCTTTGAATATTCAGAAAAACTGAAAGTTAAGAAAAATATCTGGAAAAAGATAATCCCTACAACCGTAAAAATTTTTTAGATCGACATAGCGCCACTCATAGGCAAATTCATCCAACAATATCCAGCTACTCATAAGCCAACACGATGTCAACCATGTTACAACGTTTGGCCAATGTAATTCTTGGAATTAATACAAATAGTGCAAATAGTGAGCCAGCGAAGCGCAATGCATTAAAACCTCTATGATGTCTCTCCAACGTCGGGTTTATGATGCCAACGTCGGGTTGATGAGAAGCCACTTTAGCGTAGGAAATCTCACACCAAGGCGTTGCTATAAGTTCAAATTAGTAAAACATGCGTTGTTCAAAAGCGTTGCTATTGAACAAATAAACTGTTCGGGATGAATGTTGCTTGTTTAAAAATATTATCGACAAGAGATTTGGTTTGCAGAGTTACGCGAGTTGGTTTGTTAGTTAAGGAAAGAATTGTATTAAAAAGTTGTATTGAAAGAGAGCGTTAAAAAAATTATTATCTGCTTTAATATTTAAAAGATTCAGGTTGAATACTCCGTGGTGAAAATTTTTTTCAAATAAAATACTGTTTTCAACAAACCTTTAATTAACATTCATTTTATGATAATAAGAAATTATATTTTACATCTATAATTACAAAAAATATATATTTTACTATATATTGTCCTTTTTTGTACCAATATAAAAATAAAATTAAAAAAATAATTCAAAACATAATAAACTACATATAAAAAAATCTGAAATTTATAGATTAGAAAAAATTATATAAATTCAAATGTCGAAAAATACATATAGTGTTATAATGTTATAAATTCACAACCTATTTTTTATTTATCAGCTCATCCATTTTTGTCATTAAACTATGAAAAATATCTATTTTTTCATCTCGATTTGTCTTTTTTTTAGCTTCATATTTTCTTATAAGTTGAGACTTGCATTCATTTTCAAACTCAATTACTTCATCAAGCTCTCTATCTGTCAGAATACGTTCTAAAAACAAAAACAAGTAAAATACCGAATATAACCTTGGTAATGATTACCGATACTAGTATAAAAAGTTTGATATAAATTGATATTTACTTAAATTCTTTTCTTGCAAAGAGGTTTTGCCAAGATACAAATCTTTAAAAAAATTCACAAGCATATAAAAATGACACAAAAGTATAAATGGAGGAATTAGTGGTGGTCGCGTAGCATACTCTAGTATTAAACTGTAGCGCTCGAATTTCCCTATTTGTTCTGCATTAGCTTGTACTTCTTCATAGGTGTTACTTTGTAAAAAAAAATATAATTTAAAATACTTTTAATATAAAAGTTATAATAAAATCAAGTGAGTTCTTACTTGAATATGGCAATTAAAAGATTGAGTAACAGAACATTTGCAATTAAAAGATAGAACCCAAGAAGAACCCAAGCAAGAGGTTCAGCATATTTGTTGTGAAACTCTGTTCCAAATCGAGTTGTATTTGCTAATCAAAATACAAAAAAATTTAACAAAAATATATACATACATATAATATATATCTATATATATATATATAGTATATATATATAATACATATAATATATATCTATATATATATAGTATATATATATAATACATATATATATATATATATATATATATATATATATATATATATATATATATATATATATATATATATATATATATATATATATATATATATATATATATATATATATATATATATATATATATATATATATATGTATATATATATATATATATATATATATATATATATATATATATATATATATATATATATATATATATATATAAAAGTATAAATGGAAAAAAAAACCCTTGAAACCAAAAACATTGGTGTTAAAAAATGACTTTGGAAAAAGGTTTGCTTGATTGTATCACTTTTGGGCTTTTCCATTTTATTTTAAAAAATGGTCAAAAAACGCAAAAAGATGTCTATATTTGGATTTCTTAGGAAAAGCAATAATTTTACACTGTTTTTTTTTATACATTTTTTTATACAATACAAGTGTCGATCTATATTTTTAAATAAAAACGGTAGTTAAGAATTTAACTGCTTTTGCAATTTTTTTTTAAGTAAAAAGTGTTAAAACATGTATAAAGTAAACAGCTTAAAATAAGTTGCATATTTTGACAATTCAACTTTTTATTTTATCTTTAAATTACGCATTTATTATTGAAGTAAAAAAAAACAATGATTGTATTTCTAATTTATTCATATAATAAATAACTTAACTCAATTTCATATTTTTTGCAATTTCAAAAAGTGAATCAATTAACCTTTTCTTGAACGAATTTAAAGACGTTTTTCCTGACCTTTTTACAGTATACAGTTTTACTGGCTTAATTAGCAGTAAGCAATCTATTCTGAATTTCTTTTCTTTTTTTTATTGTATCTTTTCACAAACTGCTGGATCATTTCACTGCTCTTTCAGCAAGGTAGCTTTTTTTTAGCAAGGTCATTTACAACAACTAATGCTTTAGCAAAATGTTTGAAGATTTTAAAGCTAATGCTTTGAAGATTTTAATGTATCAGTATTGAGGTGGGAGGGTGAGCCAGTCTAACTATTTATTATGCATGTCTCATCGCAGTATGGCACATGAAATCTTAATTTTTTTCATTAGGAATGTTTTATCCAAAAACATTCCTAATGAAGAAAATTAAGATTCCATGTTTTAATCCAAAAACGAAAGAGGTACAAATTTAGAATCAAGAATGTTTGTAAAATAATTTTAATATTGTTTCAACTTCATCTAGTTTGACACAAAAATCTTTGCATAGATGCATTTTATCTATTGATGAAATGTCCAGATATCGACACTTGATAGTCTTGTAATGTTGAAAATACCATTTTGTATAATGATAGGAATTCTGTCATAACGTTTATTTTTAAAAATAGTTTATCTTCATAAACTAATTTAATCTGATTTGAAAGAAGTTGCAATTTAAGATAATATATGACTTTTCCAAAGGAACCTTGCATGATGGACAACTCCTGGTTTCCTAATTTTTATACCTTGCATGATGGACAACTAACTTTTATACTTTTTACTGACAAATAAGCAACAACTATTTCAGCAAATTCTTTTTTATCACATCTTAAAACTTTTTCAGTTTTGATTTACTCTTTTCAGAAAATAAGAGTTTATACCCAAAAAATTTAGTTTATAAAAATTTAATTTATAACATCATTAGTATGAAATGAAAATCAGAAGTTTTAAATGTATTTTTGAGATTTTTTAAATAAAGCATTTACTGGTCCAGAAATTTTTTTTTGTGTCATAACAAATTTAAAAGTAAACAATTTTCAACTCTGATACATGGTGTCTACAAGCTAGAAACAAAAAGTAGATCTCTAGATCGTTTGTAATTTTAAGAAAGGAACCCTTTTTAGTTCTAATTTTTTTTACAACTTCTATTATTACTAGAAGTTTCAACAAAATCCTTGCCTCCATGTATATTCATTACACCTTTATACTGATCCCTACCCGAGGAAGATACAAGAGATATTTCAAACAAATCATAAACTTTAAAATTGTAAATTTCTCTAGATTTCTGCTACAAAATTCCTATTAGGTTAATAAGTACTTTATTATTATTTTTTATAGTCTAAAAAAGTAGAATAGTTATATATATAGCATATATATTATAAAATAATTAATCAAACACAAAATAAAGTATTTTATATTTCTAATAATTTTAAGCTAAATAGCTCACTTTTTTTAAAGTTTTTAACACTGTTTACTTATAAAAATAAATATTGCAAAAGCAGTTTAACACAGCTTCATCTACCTTTTTTATTTATAAGTAAAGATTGATACCTGTATTTAAAAAAAATCAGTTCAAAATTTTATTATCACTTCTCTCAAAACATATGAATAAAGACATTTTTTTGCGCTTTTTGACCATTTTTTAAAATAAAATGGGCCCTGGAAGAGGTACAAAAGTAATCCAATCAGGCCAATATTTTTCTAAAGGCATTTATAACACCAATTTTCCATGTTTCAATGAGTAGTATATTGAAATTCAAATATTTTCTCAAAAGCAATTACCTTAATATATATATATATATATATATATATATATATATATATATATATATATATATATATATATATATATATATATATATATATATATATATATATATATATATCTATATATATATATATATATATATATATATATATATATATATATATATATATATATATATATATATATATATATATATATATATATATATATATATATATCTATATATATATATATATATATATATGTAACAATCAAATCAAAAAATTAATTTACAGTCAGAAGGATCACGATCAATAAACAATTCTCCGTAAATATTAAAATACGGATGAAACATTGCATCGATGATCATCTTAGGACCACCAGTTTGTGGTGTTAGAATTGCAGCAGATGATACACCATAAGCCACAAGAAATACAAATAGAATCAATAGGAAACTACACATATCAATAAACTGAAAAAAAAAAATTAATATTATTTACTTTAAAAAATAAGTAGAATAAACTTCGCGTAACTAAAATAAACTTCTAAAAAATTAAATAAACTTCACACAAGTAAAATAAACACAAGAAACAAATACACTCAAGTAAATATCTTGTGATAATGATGTAATTGAACTTTAAAGACTTAAAATTCAAGTCACAAGTTCTAAAATTATTTAGAGGGAAATTTAGTAAACATCTGCAATTCTTTTTAAAACACTTTCAATTCCAACAAGTCTAAAAGTAACCAATATTAGAGTTAAAAGTTACAGGAAGAGAAAAGATGAAGTTATTAAAAGGTGGTTAATGTAAATTAAAATAAAGTATAGGGCTATTATGAAGGTATCCCACTATTATATACGGAACAGTCCCATTATCAACATCATTGCACATCACAAGCTTCCTGCATTCACGATGTACAATGTTAACGGTAAAGGAGCAGTAAAGCAAAAGGTTTCAAATTTTAAACTTTTTATTGTTTAACTCACTTTAAAGTCTTTTTTAGTTTTAAAAGCAATAAGATGTTAAAGCGAATTCAAAGTTCTCTTTCATTAGACAGCCTGATTTTTATTAATAAATTTTTTTATTAATAATTTAATTTCTAACACATTATTTATTATTGTTGGATGTTAATGTTTGACAGACTGTTGATCAATTTGATCCCATAAAAGTGTGATTATAAAAACTGATATTAAGAATAAATAAAATGTATACTTTAAAAATTAATAAATTCGAATATTACTTGTGAATACTTAGTAGACTGGTATAATGCGCAACTTAACTTTGAAATTGGATTAAATTTGATACTGTTAGATCAGGTTCCTGTCTCAGAGTCAAAGAGTTGAAAATTTTTTTTTATTGTTCATTGTACTATTTTTCTTGTATAAAATTTTTTAAGAAAATTTAATATTAGAATCACAAAAATATAAGTTTAAACAAAAACTATATTATTAAAAGTGTTTAATTAATAAAACTATTGCTTAACTTTTAAATTTTGTGTAACCATTGTTTTAATCAATTCTTTCGATTTATAGAAAAACACTAGCTAATAGAAACAGTTCAAGTATGCTAAACAAACACTGCGAATGTTCAAGCATATTCTATGAATGTTTTAGAAAATTAAAATTTAAGGTTTAAGAGAGGTTGCCACAACATTCATTTTGATTTGCTTAACGCTTGCTGCAAACATTACGTAAACAAACTTATGTAAACTCTGATTTACACTTCTTGAACGTTCAATATGAACATTATTATTGTTACTAATAATATTCCTCTTCATTGTCATCTTATTATTATTGTTAATATTATTTCTATAATTATTATCAATACTATTATTATTGTTATTATGATCAATATTTTTTGTAATGTTGCAGGTTTTTACTTTAGATTAGTACTTGTACTATTTGTAAAAGTCCTTGAAATTTTACAACTTATTTCAGAATATATATATTGAATTGAATTTAATTGAATTCAAATAATAAACAGCGAAATTACTTAATGTTCACTGCAAACATTCTTTTGATAGCTCTTAACCGTTCGATAAACATGCAATATGAAATATGGAAGTTTGCCCAACACTTTTCTTTTTTTAATTTTTTTAAATAAATGTATAAATAAATAAGTTTAGTGACTTTCTGTTTAAGCCTGCATTTGTGTGTAATGCTTTTTTGAACTTACATAACACTTATTCAACTTAATTATTTATATTACTTAACTTATTTATTTACATAAGTAAAAATTTATTTGTAAATTTAACAACACATTTACGAATTAAAACATGTTAAGCTTATTTGAGAGTCCATAATTTAATTATTACATTTCAATCATAAGGCACACTTATGGCCTACTTTTTACAATACACTAAGGCAAATTTTTTGGTATGAAATTTAAATAAGGAGCCACTATCATAATAGTTATCAGGGATATAAATTATAAATAAAAATATTTATATTAAACTTTATTTAATATAAATATCTTGTTTCGTTTTTTTTGTTTTGTTTGATTTTATTTTTTATTTGTTTGTTATTATCTCTGTTTATTTTCTTGTCCTTGTTCTTTTTTGAGGTCGTATTGATTACAAGGTTGTTCTTTTTTGAGGTCGTATTGATTACAAGGTTGTTCTTTTCATTTTAACCAGGTAATATGAGAGTGAGCCTTTCAGTTTATATTATATTAATTAAAAACCAATTTATGACATTTACTTGTTAATATATTGTTGTTGTTGTTCTTGTTAAATTTATTTGTACTTAACTCAGGTATTAATATCTGACTTAAGAAAACAAATTTGAACAATGCCATAGATTTAGTTATAGGTAGTATTGTTTATTTTAAGTTTAATAACAAAATAATATGTTTCAACTATCTAGATAAAACGTATAATTCAATAGTATTATTAATGCATAATTTAGTAGTATTTACAAGAGAAAAAACAAGTCCTGCTAGTCTACAATAAATAGTAATCAAGATCTTATTTTAAAAAATCAGTGAAAAACTGTATGACAAAGTATAGAAAATAGTAATAAAAAAAAAACAAAAATTTGGCTATAAAAAAAGATTTTTCTTTATACATTATTAATGCATATACCTGTGTTATACCAGTTTTTTATTGATTTTATTTTTTTAAATCTTGAACACTATTTATTGTAGAATGGCAAAACTTGGTTTTACTTCATAAACACTTATAGAACATGAGAAAAGTTCACTATCCGGCATCCGGCAAAAATATCTGGTACACCTCTAATATTTACTAGTATAGTATGTATTTAAACCATATATGTATTAAATACATATATAATTTATATAAATACTATACATAATTTATATACATATTACATTTATAAACATGACTATTATTCGTATTAATGACTACTCAACTCTGACATGAATTTAAAAATTGTTCTTGTCAGATTCATTTAGTTGACAAATGTGAACAATAGTCGTGTTTATATATAGGTACATAAATGTTTTACATGAAGTAAAACATTATGTTAAAATACTTTAATTCTGTTTTAAATGAAAAATATTTATTATCATACTTAAAAATAGTCAAAATAAAGCAGAACAATATGCATTGTTTGCATTATACAGACCAAAGTGGATGGCAGCAAAGTGAACGTTTTAGCAACAACTTTAACAAAGCAACAATCAAACTGACAATGAAACTGAAAGAAATTTGATAAAACAACTTCAAGTTGTACCAATAATGGTGTAGATGTCGAACAACAGTTGTTTTCAAGTTAATGCAACTCATTCAGATCTGAATATTTTGATAAAAACAGTTTGTTATTTAGAGATTGATACGATATTACAAATCTGGCGCGCAATATATTTAACTGGAATAAATAAAAATTTGTTAAAAATACTAGTTTGTCTTGAACAAGTTAAATTAGACAGTTTATTTGATTTAGAAATTGTTCTGAACATAAATAGGCTATTTATTTGGCAGAAACAGTTTTCTGTTTCAACTATGTAAAGCGGCATTTTATGAATCATACCTGAGTATTATTTATTAATATGTTTATTTATTGTAGTTTTTATAAGCTTTTATGGTGTCAATTTTAGTAGTTCGTGTATGAAACTGTTTTTATATAGAATTGACAGTTTATAACAATTGAAGTCTTTTATAAATGGTAAATTTAAGTCATTCTTTTATAAATGGTACATTCAAGTCATTCATAAATAAAACTAGCTTTTTTATCAAAACCACAAAGAGCTTTTGTTTTTTTAATTAAAAAAAAAAAAAAATTTTAATATGAAAAGTTTTAATTAAAAAAAAAAAAAAAATTTTTTTTTTGATGAAGTATTGTAAATTGTGCTTTTTTAAAAAAGACTTGTGCATTTTTTATGTTTTCAGTTGTATAAGCTGTACCTTTTCACTGAAACAAGACATATTTTTTTTTTATATTGTGGGCATTTCCAAAAAGTTACGCACAGAAACTTGTATATGTTTTGTCTATTATTTTCATAATAATAAAACTGTCAATCTTTAATTTGCTCTCATTTAATTCTAACCTATATAAATATTTTGTTAAAAAAAAAAAAGGCTATATATTAGTAATGTTAAAAATAAATTAATATTGAATAAATTGAATAAATTAAGTTTGAAGCGAAATCCTGCACAGAACAGAAAAACTTCAATTTTAGTTACTATATAAATAAACTTTTTAAATTCATCGGAAAATATAAGTTTCAGTGTTATATATTAATATAATGTTTTAAACATTAGTAAAGCAATAATATTAATAATGTTATAAATAAATATAAGTTTCAGTGTTATTAATTTTTTAAAATAATGTTTTAAACATTAGTAAAGCATTCAAAAAAGTTACAGGATTGCACTATGTATTATAGAGTTACAGCAATCATTTACATGCAGTTCATGAATGATCACGCACGGAAGTCATGCATGGAAGTTGCAAATTTGTTAATTTCATGTAGATATTTTTAAGAAAATAAATTGCTTGTGAGAACTTTAAGTGAAATATTATACTTCTACAACTCATATTTAATATTTTCTAAGAAAAAATGACAATTATTTCTAACTAAAGGATAGCGCTTTGAAATTGTTGTTTATTTTCAAACTGGAGCGATATTATTATGCAAAAAAAAAAAAAAAAAAAAAAAAAAAAGAGATCAAAATATATATTTAACTTATTCAGGTAGACTAAAATATGATAAAAATATTATTGCTATGTTTTTTAAGAAAATCATAATAGTATGCATATTGCTTAAAGTCCCAGCTTTTAATTGCTAAAACAAAGAAAAATAAAAAATCACGCACAGAAATGGAAATGCCCTTGTTGATGTTGTTTTGTATGCAAATTTAACTTGAATTGATGTAAATTGTTTTAAGCGCACTTTAATTTACTAACAAGTAATAATAAATGAACTTTTTAATTTCAAAAAGTGTTATTTTTTAGTAAGAATTTTTTTTAACTGTAATAACCTTAGCTAATTGCTAACTTCTTCGTTTGAAATGTAATAATCAAATCACAAGCTCTAAAATAAGCTTGATATGGTGTAATTCAGTTGGAAAACATGGTGAGTTCGTACTTAAGTACAAATGAATTTTTACTAAAGTACTTATTTAACAATTGCTAAATAAATATGAGCTATATAAGTTCAAAAAAAACATTATATTACACTAAAACTAGCAAATGTAGGTTTAAACTGAAAGTGTGTCTAAACCTATACATTTATACATTTAATTAAAAAAATAAATAAAAACATTGAGTAAACCGTGTTCGTTATTGTGTGTTTGAGGTGGTACTTTTGAGGCTCAAGAGCTATCAAAAGTACATTTGAAGTGAATGTTAAGTTGATGTTTGCTGTTTGTTATTTGAACATTCGTATTGAACATTCAAGAACTGTAAATTGGAGTTCAGAAAAGATGGTTTATATAACGTTTGCAGCAAACGTTACATGAACCTAAATAAATGCTGTGGCCAAGAACAAAAGGAAACCCAAGAACAATAAAAAAAATATAAAACCATGACTTTTTAAAAAATGTACAACCAATTAAGATAAGGTGAGAATTAAATAATTATTATAATATTAAATAATTTATTATAATAAAATTAATTAGTTTAGGTACACATAAATTTTTTTTTGAATTCAAATACAAAACAAAAAGTCAAGAATTTTTTTTTCCTATTATTTTTTACATTTAAAAAAACTTTTTTTTTACAAGATTAATAAAAATACCCTAATTAAAATCATTCAAAACTCAATGCTGCTTTCCATTTATTTTTTTAAAAATCATTTATAATGCAATTCTAGAGTCTTTTTTTCTTCTTAAAGGCCCAATGAAAAAATAATGCTAAAATACTATTAAAAGTGAAACAATTAAAAGTGCTTTAAAAAGTAAAGAATCAGAATGCAAATATTTGAAAAGGATGAATAATGAAGCAAGAATGATTAATGAGGCAAGGATGAATAATGAGTCAAGGTACTAAATATAAATAAATTGATAAAGCTAAAATAAACAAATATACCATTTTAAAAATCATAACCACATAAGGACCCAATACTTCATCAATATAAAACACATTTAAGAGACGAAACACCCACATACCACCATTAATAGCATACAAAACATGAGCGGCATCAATTGTGTTAGGGCTGAAACGAAGTGCTAATGCAACAAAAAATAAGCTAAGTGCTACTGCATCTAACTTGTTCCAATTACTTGACCACCAGCTAGCTATTTTTCCTTCTAGAGTTAGAGCTTCATCTTGAACTATCTGATAAAAAAAGATATTACAACATTAACAGAGGTGTAGAAATAAAAAAACCAAATTATATTTAGTATTTATAAAAGTTTACTTGACGCAATTCTTCTATAGCAAGAGAGACAATGTAAACAACTAGAAACCATTCAGCTATAGATGGTTTATCCTCTTTTTTTACCATAGCAACATAAGAGAACAAGCACAAAAAAAGTAAATAACCGATCTAAAATTGTAATGTTATTATATTATAAAATTATTTAAGAAATAATATAATTTTTTAGCCTTTACATAACGGGTGATAACTAAAAAATGAGAATTTTTATATTGGGCTATAATAAAAATAAATGTTTAGAAAATGAAAATTATGTTTATTTTAATTAAAGGTACATCACTTATCTTTAAGAAAAAATTAATGAACATTTAAATATGGTCCATCATCAGTAGTTTGAAGTAGTTTTTGTCATGTTGGAACAGAAGCATTGAAGTATATCAATTTGATTAATGCATCTTTTGATTTGGGTAATCAATTGTTTGCAATTCTCAGCAAACAATTGATTATTCAAATTCAAGTATCCAAAGAAATCTTCAATTGGGCAACACTGAGGTAAGTTTATCGGATTGCAGTTTTTTGGTACATATAGGATGTTTTGGCTTTCTAAGAAGATTTGTGTTTTTTTGACATGATGCAATGATGCTTTATCCGGCCAAATCAAGTAATAGGCATCTGAATGATATTTTTGAAGAAATGGAATCAATATTTTCTTCAAAAATTGATTTTGGTAAACTTTTTGATTAATAGCCAAACCACTTGGCTTAAACAAAAGATTGAAAATTCCCCTCCCAGATATGGCAATGTACAGCATCTCTTTCTGCTCAAACTTGTGTTTATATTTGTATTTTAATTTTGTAGGTGTTGAAGAACTTTTATCTGCATAGTATCAAACATTTCCTGGAACTAGCATTTGGGAGAGGGGGAAGTAACTTTCATCATCCAAAACAAAATATTTTCCAGAGTAATTTTGGGTCATCCAGCAACATTGAGATTTCATGGTTGATATTTGTTGCTCAGTGTTTTTTTTTTTTTTTTTTTGGCAGACTATTACTTGTTTTTTCAATGATTTGCAGATATTTTTTTTTTAAAGATTTGCAGATATTTGCAACGATTGCAAGGCTGTGTACACTTGAACTTTTCTGCAGCATCTTGTTGACTTATTGAACTATGTTTATTAAAAGCACTGTGAAGCAAACAAAGTCCCTTCTTGTTCATTATTTTACCAGGTCTTCCAATACCACTTTTATGATTGGTTGTTAAGGATGGCAAAATATGATAAATAGTAGAAACTGGAACATTTTCGGTTTTAAAATGATTCACAATAAACTTTTTTCCCAGATTTTTGTACATTTGATAGAACTTTACAATGCACTTGTGTAAGTTTGTAAACAGAGAGAGAGAGTATAGTTTCAAATAGGATTACTTTTCTTTTTTTTGACTTTTGCGGTTTGATTTCAGAGGGTTAAAATTATTCTCATTTTTTAGTTATCATCCGTTACTAGTAAAGACAAGAAATAAAAAAAAACGAATAATTTTTTAACACACTCATAAAGATCTGTTTATTTATACAATAAATGTTTACAATCTTTTGATAATATAAAATAAAGCCTCAAACAAATCATGGTCAGACATTCAAACAACTAAACATTATAAAATAGATAACTTTTTTTGTTGTAAAAACTTTTTTTTTTCTTGTTAAAAAATATTTCAACTTGAAAGTATATTCTTTTTGCATTTTGAGATGATTAAGTGAATAAATTTTTTGATAAAAATTGTTTATGTTTGGTTAGAATATTATATATACTGTCATAATTTTTTTTGTGTGCTCATTAATCTCATCAAAACAATTACTAATCAATCATCAATACAAATAAAATAAACCGGAAGTTTAAATAAAACAAATAAGTTCGAATTAAAATGAGTTAATCAAGTGAGGAAATTTTCTCATTTAATTCATAAAAAGTTTTTTTACCTTTAAATAAAAGAAACATAAATTTCTTAAATATTCATTTTATACTATAATTATTATAAATTTCTTAAATATTTTATACTATAATTACAATATTAAAAAGTTAATTATTGAAAAAAAACTTTTGTAAATTTTGTATTTTGAATATTATAAAAAGTTAAATATTGGAAAAAAACTTTAGTTTATTTTTAAATTATTTTATTTATGTTCATTTTTAGTACTATTATTATTATTATTATTATTTTTATTTTATCATCATTATTTATAATACTCTATTATAATTACGTTGTTAAAAAAGTATATTTTTACGATTCCATTTATCAACAATTTGTTTAACTATATTTAATGCTCTACATCCCTGAAATTTCGAAAAACATTCCTAAAATTGCATTAACCAGTTCCCTATAACATTTAAAGTTATGTTATGTCTCAATCAGTTACAATTGGTAACAAGGTTACATTCTCTCATTATTAAGTAAATTAAATATTAAGTAAATTAATTAAATATTAAGTAAATAAACTTGAAAATGCAGTAATTGTTTGTTTACCATTGCCATATTGCTAAACACTATCTTTCATTTTATTTTTAATGTAAAATAGCTTTGTCTCAATTGGTTACTTTGTCACGAAAAAAAATAAAAGTCTCAATTCGCATTTTACATCTCAATTTTTTTTTTTATAACTTTTTAAAGTGTATCCAATTGAGATATAATGAAACATAACTAAATCTAGATTTAAGACATAACTAAAATACGTCTCAAACATAGATTTTTTTAATGATATGTTACGTCACAAAAAATTTAATTAACCAACCAAGAAATAGCGTAACGTAAAACATTTAATTCTTAAATGTTTTACATTACGCTATGTCTTGGTTGGTTATACTTTTAAAAATAATAACTTTAAAAGTTGTATTTACTTTTAAGAAGTCTTTTTAAAAAACTATTTTTTTTAAATTATTGTGGGTTAATTTTGAAAAAAAATTTTTAATTACAATAGTTTTGACGTTTTTTGAGAAATTTAATCTAAAAAATATTTTTTTAAAAAAGCAGTTTATTGATAATAATTATATGATAATAATCATAGTTTATTTTATTATAAAATAGATTGGTCTTAATTAGTTACTTATTTTAACTACGTTTCATATCTAGATTTTGTTACGTTACATTAGGCTTTTTTTTTTGTCAATAATACAAGCGTAATACTTCATGAGATTTTATAAACCACCAAGCAATGTATATAAAATGTCAACTTTTCTAATGATATAATTAATTTATTATTATTATTATTATATACATGATAATATACATTAAACCAATTATGTGTATAGTTAGCGTTATCTGTGCTTATCTTACTACACTCTCTAATCTCTCTGACTTGACTCTTTTATTAAGTTATGGTTTTCTTTTACATCTCTCTTCCTACGTCTCTCTATATATATCTCCCTCTCCATATAAATAAATGTACATATGAATAAACAAAAAACAATTAAATAAAAAGATATCATAGATTACAATGTTACGTGTCATTAGATCAAAATGTTACGTGTTGTTACATAACATTTTGCATGTATGGTTATGTTACAGTGTTACATATTGTTACGTAAAATCTTACGCCTCGGTTACATAAAAAAACAGACATTTTGAAGGTAACGTTAACGAATCTCATTTACGTTACAACACATAACATAACTTTAAAATGTTATAGGGGAATGTAGTCATTGTAGTCATAAAGTTAAATTTTTTAAGGTTTCGTTAAAATTACGAACAAAAATTATTTTACAAAATTAATCAGATTAAAATCATATCATTGTTGTGTTTTGATTATTTACTTTGTTTATTTTAGAGTAGAAAAACTTATAAGAATTAAAATATTGTTGTTCTTTATAAGTGTTTCAATTTTGTACTCTTATCAAAATAAAATATGGATAGAGCTCTAAGACCTTCTCGCTTGGATACATTACCAAACTCACCTTCGGCAACAAAATTATTTAAACATTGGCTCAGAACATTTGAATATTATCTTGATGAACTCCCTCAAGAACTCAATAAGTTAAAAATCCTGACTAATTTCGTTGTGCCCGATGTTTATGAAATAATAAGCTAATGTCCAAATTATGAAGCAGCAATACAAGCTTTACAATCTGTGTACATCAAACCATCAAATGAGGCTTATGCACGACACCTCTTGGCAACTCGTAAGCAACAGCCAGGAGTAAGTTTTGATGAGTATTTACACGTTCTTAAAGTTTTAACAAAAGAATGTAACTTTAAACAGGTGTCTGCTATTGAATATCGTGATGAATATATTAGAGATTTATAACAGGGATAAATTCACAGGTTGTCAGATAGCGACTACTAGAAAACAGTACAATAAGCCTGGATGAAATATTTTCAAAAGCTAGAACCTTGGAATCAGTGCAGAAAAATGCTGAAAATTACCTCCAGTATAATACATCAGATACAACAGTAGCTGCAATAACAAAAAAGCCAAAGCAATTTAACTCAAATTCTGTTTCAAATTGCTGGAACTGTGGAAATCAGACATGCTAAAGCTGTCTGTCCTGCTAGAGAGTCGATTTGTTTTAAATGTGAGAAAGTTGGTCATTTTGCCAAGTTATGTAAATCTTCTAAACTTACAACAGCAGGGATGAATCTTGTTGATCAACCTTTGAACTCATACAATCCTTTACTCACTTGACTAGACTACCCTGAACATAAAACTAATTTAAAGAACATTTCTGCTTCCATTTCACCTTTGACTAAATCAACAATTGGCATGTTGGTTAATGGTTCATTTGTAAATGCTCTCATTAACAGTGGTAGCACTGATAGTTTTATTCACCCTCAATTGGTACAAAAACTAAACCTAACAGTTCATAGACAAAACCAAAAACAGGTATCTATGGCTTCATCATCTTTATCTAGTACAGTTTGTGGAGTAGTTTTTGTCAATATTTCAATAGAAAATGAGCATTATAAACTAGTAAAGCTTAACATCTTAAATGAGTTATGCATGGATGTTGTTCTGGGTCTTGATTTTTAAAAACAACACAAAGCTGTAACCCTTAAGTTTGAAGGAAAAAGACCCCCACTATTAATTTATGGTTTGTCGAAGTTGAATGTATCTCCCCCTAGTTTATTTGGCAATTTATCGCCTAACTGTAAACCAATAGCTTCAAAATCTCGTCAATATAGCAAAGAAGACCAATTATTCATTGAAATGGAAGTACAACGTATGCTTAAAGAAGACATTATTGAACATTCAAATTCTCCCTGGAGAGCTCAGGTAGTTGTAACTAAAGAAGAACGCTCTAAGAAAAGATTAGTTATTGACTACAGTCAAACAATAAATAAGTTTACTCAACTAGATGCTTACCCATTACCAAGGATTGATGATCTAGTAAAGAAAATTGCTCAATACAAAATATTTAGTACAGTTGATTTGAAATCAGCCTACCATCAAATTCCAATTACCAAAAATGATAGAAAATTTACAGCTTTTGAAGCTAATTGGAGGTTGTTCCAATTTAAGTGAATGGCTTTTGGAATTGAAAATGGGGTTGCTTGTTTTCAACATACCATAAACGAATTTATAGAAAAAGAAGGACTTTTAGATACTTATGCTTATCTAGATAATGTGACAATATGTGGTAAAACCCTAGAGGAGCATGATCTTAATCTGGAAAAATTTCTCAAGTCAGCTAAAAATATAAATCTTACTTATAATCATGATAAATGTAGCTTTTCCCAAGATAAAATTTGCATTCTTGGTTATCTTATAGAAGAAGGAAAGCTCAAACCAGATCCCAGTTGTCTTCAACCTATGAAAGAAATGCCTTCTCCTCATGATGCTAAATCCATGAAGAGTATCATCGGACTATTCTCATACTACTCTAAATGGATTCCAAACTTTTCCGATAAGATAGCTTCTCTTACCAAAAACACCAAGTACCCATTAGATCATCAGTGTGTAAATGATTTCAATCAACTTAAACAAGACATTGCAAATGCTGTGACAGATTATGTGGACGAAAATGTTCCATTTGAAGTAGAAACGGACACATCTGACATTGCTATAGCTGCAGTTCTTAATCAAAATGGCCGCCCTGTAGCTTTCTTTTCAAGATTACTTCAAAAATCTGAACTCAAACATCCCTCTATTGAGAAAGAAGCTTGCACAATAATAGAAGCAGTCAGGCATTGGAAACACTACCTTACTGGATGCCATTTTAAACTTATTGCCGATCAGCAACCTGTATCCTATATCTTCGAAAAGCAACATAAATCAAAGATTAAAAATGATAAAATTTATCGATGGAAAATTGAACTATCGTGCTATAATTATGACATTGTTTACAGGGAAGGGAAACTAATTATTCCAGCTGACACATTTTCTAGAACACATTGCTCAGCAATAAACACTAACAACTTAATTCAGCTTCATCAATCACTCTGTCATCCTGGAGTAACTAGGTTTTATGCTTTTATTAAAAACTGTAATTTACCTTTTCCAATTGATGATGTTAAACGAATAAATAATTAGTGCAAATTATGTTGTGAATGTAAGCCTAGATACTACAAACCACTAAAATCTAATTTGATAAAGGCGACACAACCACTGGAAGGTTTGAACCTAGATTTTAAAGGACCTCTTCCTTCGAAAACTAATAACAAGTATTTTTTAACCATAATTGATGAGTATTCTTGTTTTCCTTTTGCAATCCTGTGCCCTGATATTTCAGCTCAGACTGTAATTAAGTGTTTGTCACAAGTATTCTCGATTTTTGGTTTGCCAAGTTACATCCATTCCAATAGAGGTTCAGCCTTCATCAGTAAAGAATTAAAACAATACTTACTAGAGAAAGGTATTGCAACAAGTCATACTACAGCATATAATCCACAAGGGAATGGACAAGCCGAAAAGTATAATGGAATCATAATGAAGTCTATTGAGATTGCTACTAGACAACACAATTTACCCATCAAAGCTTGGGAAAAAGTATCGCCAGACGTTCTCCATTCTATAAGATACTTAGTAAATACTAAAACAATGGAGACACCTCATGAAAGAATGTTTAAGCACCTTCGTAAAACAGCCTCTGGATGCACTTTACTTTCATGGTTAAGTCATCCTGGACCAATACTAATGAAAAGACATTTACGTAATAATAAGTATGAACCACTGGTAGATGAAGTGCAACTCATAGATGCTAATCCTCAATATGCTCACATAAAGTATCCAGATGGAAGAGAAACCACAGTTTCCCTAAGACACTTAGCTCCAACAAGTTCTGCTCCAATCATTGATCAAACAAACCATATTGAACCTTTGCCAGAGAATGCCTTTAATAATATTGAACCTTCACCAGAGAATGCTTTTTATAAACCTTCTTACCCCTATAAACCATTAACACCTGAGAAATATGGACTTACCAATACCAATCTTGAAAACTTTCCTAATCAGCCTCCCCTTTATCAACCTCCACTAGCTGAAAATCTTGTCAATGATGCTTGTCCAATCAATCCATTGTTATTAATAACACCTGGAAAAGACACACATAGATCATCAAGAGTAATTCGTCGACCATTACGACTTATAGAAGAAGATACATGAAAAACTTTGTTTATACTATAGTATATTCTGTTTATATTAAGGCTGCAGAGAATGTTGTGTTTTGATTATTTACTTTGTTTATTTTAGAGTAGAAAAATTTATAAGAATTAAAATATTGTTGTTTTTTTATACAAGTGTTTCAATTATCATCTTTTTTTTGTCTGTTTTCTATTTTATTTCTCAATCAGTGAGCAAATAACAAATATAAGCTGTTAAACCAGGTTTGATTCATACATTTAAAGATATAAAAGTATAATTTATTATCTAAAATTTTTATTTAAATTAAAAACTTTGCAAAACTTAATCTAGAAATATTGCAAAAGAGTTTTATTCAAATACTAAATGCAATTCATAAAAAAAATTAGTTCAAAATGGCAGAATCTCACCAAATTTGATAAGAACTTTATTACAGGAGTGTAGAAATAAAACTTCATTATTTTAGATAAATATTTAACTTTCTCCACTTTTTTTGCTGATGCATTAATTGCACTAAAGTCATTGACTGATTGTGAATCTGACACTAGACGATAGTTTAAATTTCTAAAAAAAATTTATTTTTTAAAGAACTTAAATTTATATATATATATATATATATATATATATATATATATATATATATATATATATATATATATATATATATATATATATATATATATATATATATATATATATACATATATATATATATATATATATATATATATATATATATATATATATATATATATATATATATATATATATAATTAAAATATCTTAAGCAATTCAATCAAAATCATTACAAATATTTAAATTGTATATAATTTTATGTAAAATTTTACGCTTCATCTTTTTTAATGCATACATTTATTAGGAGTTGATTAAAGGTTTACAATACTCACTATTATAGATAAAAGTTGAAAACATTTAACAGACACTTAATAATTGTAAATTTAAAATTTTAAATGCAATATTCAAAAAACAAAAAAAGTTTTTTTGCTTAGCAGTGGATTTGAACCCACTGCTAAGCAAAAAAACTTTTTTTTTCTTTTTTTAAATAAACTTTTTATGCCAATTGCAATTAACCAACACAAGAATTTCAAAACCTTGTGTAACAAGATTGCATTGCAAAATTAAAAAAGTAAAACCACAATATTTTCTTAAAAATATTTATAAAACCACAACATCTTCTAAAAAATATTCATAAAACCACAATATTTTCTAAAAAATATTTATAAAACCACAATATTTTCTAAAAAATATTTATAAAACCACAATATTTTCTAAAAAATATTTATATAACCACAATATTTTCTAAAAAATATTTATATAACCACAATATTTTCTAAAAAATATTTATATAACCACAATATTTTAAGATTAGTTAGTTGTGGAGAAGTTGCTGCAAAAAAAGTCTAACAGATAGAGTTAATTTAACATATCTAGTGCCCTGTAACCTGTTTTACAGGTCCTCTTTTGCTAGTTACTTTTACTAATTACATATATACATATGTTCAAGGTAACCATGGCTATCAACTGGCTTTAGTTCATTAATCATTCAAAGTATCATGAATGTGCTCTCTAAATATTTTTTTTTATCTTCGTTTCCAACTAGGCTGCAAGTAACCACTATTAGAGTTGGAAGTTACTGGAAGAGAAAAGACAAAGTTTGTATAGCAAGTTTATGATTAACAGACAACATAAAAGATTGCAAATTGTATGAATCAGAAAAACAAGGTGAAGGAAGCAAATTCCAAAGAGTTGATTTTCAAGGAAAAAAACTAGACGAATAAGAGTTTTTGGAGCACTTAGAAATAGTCACAGAAAAAGGATGAAACTTAATTGAACAACAAATAATATCGTAATATCTCTGTAGCATATTTGATAAACTATATTGAATAACTTAATACTAAAACAATGTTTACTTTAGGAGCTAACAGCAACATAGCTGTACCTAATAAAGTCCAAGATTATTACTGCTATAAAATAATAAATAGCTTTTTGCGCCTTGGTTATTTTTTTATCATCATAAAAGATTATTGTTTGCACTTTGTGAAAATACAAAACATACAACATAAAAACAAAGAAAGAAAAAAAGTTAAAATTATTTAGTATAAATAAGAATAGTTTGAATAATAAAAAATTTTAGAAAATATAGTATTTGAAACAATACTTATAATAAATAACCAAATTTAATACTAAATAATAAATCAAAACATTAAAAAAATAAGATAAGTAGGTAATTGTTGCTACTGCAGAAAAAAGTAATGTTTTCTGAGTCAGTAACCCTCTCCCCTCCCTGGACACATCGCACAACACTAAAATCTATTTTTTAATAATGAGAGGTTATAAGAAATCTTTTCAGAGTTGCTAACAAGGCCAAAAGTAGCAAGACCAATGCCAAGGTCAAGGCCAAAAGTTACAAGGCCAAGATCAAGGCCAAAAGTTACAAGGCCAAGGACAAGGCCAAAAATTTTAAGGTTAAAGCCAAGATTAAGAGTTTCAAGGCCATGGCCTACACAAACCTTCCAAGACCAAGCACTTCAATTTTTGTCTTAGGTTAAGGCCAATTATTAACAAAACTGTAAGAAGCAAGTGCTGTGACAATAAAACCACATTTTGTAAAAATAGACCAAAGTTATGCGCAGAACTCAATGAAATCAATAAGAAAATATGTATTTTTTTTAAGGTCAAGGCCAAAACAACCAAGGCCAAAGCCAAAAGTTTCAAGGCCAAGACCAAGGCCAACAGTTTCAAGGCCAAGACCAAGGCCTCAACTTTTGGCCTTAAGGTCAGGCCAAGGACTAACAACTCTGAATCTTTCTAAAGTTTATAAACTGCAAAAAATATATATATATTTATAAACAAAACAACTTTTCAATAAAATCATTAACTTGTTAAGAAGTTTTGATTTGTACATAGTCACACTTTTAATATACTTACATGATAATAAAAGTTTTGACTTCTATATAGTCATAATCACACTTTTAATATACTTATATAAGAACAAAAAATTGTTATATGTATTTGAGAAACACAGCATGTAAATATAAAATTGAATTAAGTAGTAAAAAAAAAAAAAAAATAACATGAAAATAAGATAAAAAATGCAAAAAAAAACTTGCCTAATTATTTACTAACTTATTGTTATTGGTTCCAATAACAATAAGTTATTAAATAATTAGGCAAGTTATTTTTGAAGTTCTGTGAGTAACAACTCTTTTCCAAAAGAGTTGTTACTCAAACAAACTGAACTTCAAACTTCAACTTCAAACTTCAAATTTCAAACAACTTCAACTTCAACTTCAAACTTCAAACAAACAAACTGAACTTCAAACATTCAAAGACACAATTTGATTTGCTTTTCTATTGAAAGAACAATGTCATGAAAATTCTAATTTTTTTTTTTTTTATAAGAAATAAAAAAAAAAAAGGAGCAAATTGCATAATTCACAATTTTGATAAAAAGCAACTGCTAATTTTAAAGCTCCTGTTATTATTTCTGAAAAAACTATTGTAATGTCACAAAATTTTAAGTATAAATACTGATGTTGCTAAAGAGACTAATCTAATTGAGTGGTCAGTTTATGAACCACTTAAAACAAATCTCACAACCTATAAAGTCAAAGTTTATAGTCATTGCAAATTTTCCATGCTATTCCAATCCATCAAACATTGTTTTAAACAGGTTTTCTTTTATACAACTATAGGTGTATAATACTTGAACTAAAATTTTTTATCAACTAAATTTTAATGTTGTGGTTAAAGACCTATGAAAAAAACATTCTTATGAGAAGAAAGAAGGATACATAAGAGCTCAAAATCATTCTTTTGAGAAAAAAGAAAGCTACATAAGAGCTCAAAAACATTCTTATGAGAAGAAAGAAGGATACATAAAGGCTCAAAAACATTCTTATGAGAAGAAAGAAGGATACATAAGAGCTCAAAAAGTCAATATTTTTATGAGCAAAAACAATATTAAATAAAACCTAGTACGTAATTATGACCTTATTAAAAGTCAAAAAGAAAAAAAAAAGGAGCTGTTGTTAGTTAACTATAAATAAATTTTAATAAAATTATTATTAAAATATATTAGAAGTTGATTCTTATAAAAAAAATTGTTTTTTGTCCCCAGACTCAAATTAACATAATATTTTGCATAGCACCGACGTTTGTCAAGTTTAGAATTTTTTTTTATATCTAAACTTCAAAAATTTTGAAAATGATTTCAACTTTTAAAATTGCTTTTAATAACCCTTAGATGTAACTGTTTATAAAGTTTGTCAAGATTTTTAAGTAAAGCATTCAAAAACAATTGAATTTGCACATTGAATTCAAAAATTCAACAGGAGAAAACAATTGAATTCACACAACAAGCGAATTCACACATCACACTCAAGAATTAGTATTGAAGTCTTAAAATTAAGCAATTTAATACATTTTAAAATACATTTCAAAATTTAAAAGCAATTAAATTTAAAGACTTTTAAACGTTTTTACTATTCTCTAACTTGCCTTATTTTTCAAATTTGATTTGGAATTGGAATAGTAATTGGAATTAATTGATTAAATATTAGTTAATTTTATATATGTTCAACATAATTGATTAACTTTTAAATATAAAAATATGAAAATTACATTTAAAAAAGAAAAATTTTTTATAAATAATATTCAAATTTTCTCAAATCAAATCTCAAATTTTTAAATTTTTTTTTGTATTCTTTTATTTGCAATCTGGCTTTAACATAAATAAAAATCTATTAAAAAAAAAACGATAGTTATAAATATCTATTATTTATAAAAAGATATTTATAAATAAGTACAAAAAAAACAACAAATAAGATAAAGTTCATACTCTGTAGTCATATCTGTTTCACATACTTCTTTATCTTTTAAATCTTGTAATTCAGCACTTTCTAGAGTTAAGTCATTGTCTGAAACATCAATAATTGTATAGTCTGATTTGTGATAAAAACTAAAGAAAGCAATATAGGGCGGAAACAAAAAAGCAATTAAAAACTGCCATCGAGAAATATCTGTATTTTTAATATCACCAGTCCAAAAATCATTCATTAATGTTTGGACAGCTTTATGAGAAATGAAATCTTTGTGGTCACTCAAGTAAGCCAGACTTAAGCATGTGTGAGAATTGAACTGTTTTGAATCGCAAGTGATTAATTGTTCAGTTTTTGTTCTATCTGTGCGATAACACTCATCCAATAAATCAGTGCATAATGTTTGAAATTCTCTAGAAAAAAAACTTATGAATAATCTAAGGCAGCTTGAATTAAATACAAAAGAACTTTATTTTTTCTTTTCTTTAAGCATAAAGCAAATATTTCTAATGTATTGCATAATGTTTATTATTACAATTATATATTATACATTATATACTATTATATTAGTATTTTCTAACTATTGTTATCAAATTTTATTACATCAGGTGTTTTTCAAATTTTAATTGTTGTACATTAGAATTATTAAATGTTAGCCATGTATTATAAAAAATTTAACTTTCATAAAATAATTTAGAAATAAGATAAAACTAATTACAATGCATTTTGTTTCAATCCTTGAGCAATATCACCTGGTAAATCATTTTTTTGGGCTACACCAACTAAATAGTTGTTGATTTGCATTCCAAAAAAAGCTTTTTCTAAACTATCCTCTTCGAATCTCCAGAGGTATAATGCCATTTCATGCATGTTGCTGAGAACAGCAAAGAAAAAAAGTTCTTTATATGGAAAGTGGAATTCTGGATCAGTAGATTTTCCCTAAAATATTCTTTTGTACAAAAGGATGTTTTAAAAAACAATATAACATTTAATTAAACTACAATGGTAATTACTTATTTGTATAAAAGTATAATTATGTTAACTACAGTAATTTAAAATGGTAACTAAAGTATTTTAAAAGCTATTAAGTTAAATATATTAAATTAATATAATGTTCAACATATCTTTATTCATTTTATTACCCTCCCTCTCTTTTTAATTTTTTTGTTACTTCACATTAGCTTGACAGTTCAGCCTAGCCCTTTAATGCAATGATGTCACATTGATATTCTAATAAACATCATTGATAAAATGCTTTCAAATATAATACATTTTTTTGCAACTTAAATAACTTAAGTAACAAAAATAACATTAATGCTGAAATTTGATTTTTACAAAAAAAAAAAGAAAACTTAAAAATCGCTTTAAAATTGATTTTAATGTTTGTAATTTTAAGTGTAAAATGAAAAATAATTTTGTTTTTGTGTGATTGTGATTTTCTACTAATTTATAATTGCTCTGTTCTTTTAAGAACATTGAGCACTCTATTCTGTAGAATACATTTTTTTAAAAATTGTTTAAATATATATATATATATATATATATATATATATATATATATATATATATATATATATATATATATATATATATATATATATATATATATATACATGTGTGTATATATATACCCTTATAGTGTAGTCGAAAGAGCGTTTTAATGTAAAAAAAGTCTCTTACGACTACAATTTTAATTACCTCGTCTCTTAAGCTGTTTTTGATTGTCATCGAAATGTCAAAGCAATTAATTTATGCGGAAGTACATTAAATTTAATTGTTTTTTAAAAATTTTTTAAAAAAACGCAATTATAACGACTAGAAAGTTTTTTTTAATTAGTGGTGTTTTTGTTATTGATTTAATAAAAAACATTTTTAAAACATGCGTAAATGTTGCTACATCGACTATCTTATAGCCTGACTCGCAACGGAGTGCTGCTACATCGACTGACAAATAGCCTGACTTGCAACGGAGTGCTGCTACATCGACTGACAAATAGTCTGACTCGCAACGGAGTGCTGCTACATCGACTGACAAATAGCCTGACTCGCAAGGGAATGCTGCTACATCGACTGAGGGTTTGGTTTGGCCAGGCAGTCTATCAATTAAAAAAAAAAATTTAATTTTTAAAACTTTTTCTGGTCTGGTTTATTAACGTGCTCTTTAAAACTACAGTTTATGGGAAATATTTTTTGATGCTACGCAAGAGACATGCAAGAGTATATATATATATATATATATATATATATATATATATATATATATATATATATATATATATATATATATATATATATATATATATATATATATATATATATATATATATATATATATATATATATATATATATATATGTGTGTGTGTGTGTGTGTGTGTGTTAAACCAAATAAAGTAATATTACCTCAATGAACTGATCACTTTTAGATTTTTTAAAGATAGAGCAAGCTTCATTTATAACACTTTTTATTTTGTTTAAAGGTAACAGAATACTTTTTGAATTGTACTTTTCATAGCTGCAGAGCAGCTCCATAACATCTTTAAAATCTCCAGAAGCTGGTTCATATTCTACCTTTTTCAACACATATTGTATGATTGAATGAGAATTGTTGCAATGATAACCATAAAGAAATTCTAGAACCTTTGGTGTTAAAAGAGATTGAATACTGATTCCATAACTGAGAAACAATTTTACAAATTCAACACGATTCATTGCTAAAGCCATAATCATAGCTGAATTTAAATCTTTTTCCTATAATTAAAAGAAATATATTTATTTTGTGTTAATTTTGATGTAATTTATGATAATCAAAAGTTGTAGACATTTTAAAAGATATTAAATTTATAGAAGATATTTGAATTTCAACTCTAAACTATCTCTATGACGTTATAATATGCAACACAAAAATTTAATAGTGATTTCAACTTTACTCAAACTCTCAGAAACAAAGTAAAAAGATGAAACTTAATTGAATGACCAAGTATAAATAATCATAAGATACAGTATAAATAATCAATACATTATAAATAACAAAGTTGAATTTAAAAAAAATGCTTCTTAAACCTTTTTTAGAGTGCAGCTTAGACATTAGTCTATGAGCCATCCTGGCCCTAACAAATCCATCTCTTCTCTCAAACCCATAAACTGATGCAGATGCATCTATCAGATGTTTTTTAATCAGTTTTCGTTTATAAAACAACATAAGAATATCATCAATTTTGTAATTCAATAAAGTTAACAGAGAGTTTTTTGGGTCAAAGTTCACCAGTCACATCCACCATCCCATGTCACAGATGAGAGATGAGATTTAAGCAGCCTGTTTTGAGTATTCAAAAAATAATGACATTTTACAGAACTGGTATTCTGGCAAAAAATAATGACATTTTACAGAACTAGAGAATATATTTGTGTCATCAGTATATAGAGCCACTTTAGAGCTAAGATTATCAGAAAATCATTAATAGAAATGAGAAACAATACAGGACCAAGAATAGTCTTAATAGAATAATCCTGCAATAGCCCTTGCCTCAGCACCTCCATCAAATGCACAGTAAACATCTTTTTAATATAACAGTTATTAAGTAACAATATACAAAGTAACACCTTTTTTATTTTCTCTTTTTTTGTATAACACTTTTTATATTTTTTGTATATTGCATAACACTTTTGGCATAAAGACTATGACATAAATATTGTCCAGAGCACAAGCTATAGAAGTGTTTAATAAGATGTTGACTCGGAGAGGTTTTTAAAATCAGACATTTGTATTAGAGTATGGATGTTAGACTTACTTTATCGATGATATTGTTGAAAATTTTCCTAGAGTTTCTAGAACCAAACTTCTGAGATGCATGAGATTTAGTAATATGAAAATCTGAGATAATGTAAGAACCTTTTTTGCATAAAATACTTTAAATAATAAAAATACCTTAGGCACTTTTATTTTTAATAAGAAGTGTGATGAAAACTTAATGCAACAAAAATACAAGAAATAGAGTTACCCTAATGTGAAAGAAGTACAAGATAAAAGTTTTAATGAGATCATCATAATCTGAACTACTTAAAAAATAACAAGAGAAATAAGGCACAAGCTAGGATCAAAGACAAAACACAAATCAAGGAGTGAAAGTATATGGTTAGGTAAGTGGTTAGGGTTGTCTGTAAAACAAGTCACAAAAGCAACTATAGAGACAAAGAAAGACAAAAAATTTTAAATATAAAGTTAAAAAAAAAATTGTAAATTTTTAATTTTAGAACCAGCGAGGTCAGAGGTATTAAAGCCATTAAGTGTGATGAGTATTTAATGTCACCAACGACAACAATTTGTTTTTTTATTAAATACCAAATTAAATGGTGGCTGCTTGCAGGCTTGTTAAGAGTGAATTTATTAAATAAAAAATGGTTTTATGGATGAAATAGAAGATAATGTCTTTTTATTTTGAATAATAGTTTCCACCATTCTCAAAAACATGATTTAATTGAATTGAAAAAGAATTACAACTTTCTAAGACAATTTCAAATCTAATTCGCTTTACTGCTTGTTTTAACTCACCGATTAACGTTTTTTTTGAGCTTACTCGACTCCAATTAATAGCATGGTTAAATTCCTCCCAGATAGAAAAGTCTAATGGGTTCAAATCTGGGCTATTTGGAGGCCAACGTTCTTTAGGAATAAAATCAGGAAAATTGTCCTGACACCATTGTTGTGTCAATCAGTGTGTATGTGCTCGTGCACCATCTTGCTGAAATATCCAGTTTTCACCAAATACTCTATTGCCATATTTTTTGGCAACTGATAAAACTTCAATATACTTTCATGGTTAACAGTACCCTTTTTAAAAATAACTAATGGTGATACACCTTTTGAACAAACTCCTAACCAAACCATAACACTTTCAGGAAATTTTCTTTGCTGCTTGATTCCTCCGATGCTATCAGCTTCAACATGATTTGAAGCCCATATTCTGTCATTTTGAGAGTTATAAATACCATCAATATCAAAAAAATTTTCGTCAGAAAAAAGGATTCGCATCGTATCAGCTTTTCGATAATTGTTACGAATCCAATTTGCAAATTTAACTTTCTTTTCTTTGTGGTCATCAGATAATAGTGGTTGGACAACTTTTTTGTAGGATCGAAGCTGAAGATCATCTTTAAGAACACGATAAACACTTGGTTGAGAAATATCGAGTTCGTTTGCCAATTTTCGTGTAGAAATTGGCTTTTTTTTCTGTTTCAGCCAGTTTTTTATTTTTTGGATAGTTGCTTTTGTTCGAGCTTTGCGAGGATGACCAGAAGGTTTTGAAAGTTTGATTTTACCATCTTTGGCAATCATTTTGCACCATCTTTTGATTGTTGGTAAGCTAAGAGTGCCACTCAAATCACGAAATGTTTTAGTTGGACCATCACCATTTTTATACTTAGAAATTACAACATTTTGCTAGCCTTGACTTTTCATTGTTACTGATTCACTTGCATGCGCGCAGAAAAAAAATGAGAATGGTACGTTATTCAGCACAAAATTCTATATCTTTTAAGACCATGTGCGGTTCATA